AATTGGAAGCCGGGCTCGGTGGCTCAGCCTGTAATCCCGTGCCTTGAGAGGCTGAGGTGAGTGGATTGCTGAGCCCGCAGGTTCAAGACCCGCCTGGGCAGCGAGACCTCATCTCTACAATAAATCAAAACATCAGCCGGGCGTGGTAGTGCGTGCCTGTAATTCCGGCTACTCGGAAGGCTGAGGCGGAAGGATCGCCGGAGCCCAGCAGGTCGAGGCTGCGGTGGCCGGGAGCGGCCACTGCACTCCAGTCTGGGCGACCAAGTGAGACTCCAACTCAAAAAAAAAAAAAAAATAGGGAGATGAATGGAGAGAAATACTGGAATGTAGGTGTATGAACCAGTAATTATGGAAATATATTGAACAATGTGAATTTGTTCTGAGTATCAGTATTGGACTGACATCCATTTGCTATTTCTAATTGTGTATGCATTTGAATAAATTAATTTCTCGTGAACCTTAGACTTTTCATCTTTAATGTGAGAGTAACACCAGAGTACTCTCCTTTATCGAACTGTAAATAGACTCTGAACTAAACAGTAAATGTGTTTCTTGTGGGAGGGAAAGTTAGCTTAATGCTTAGCAGTAGAAATGAGGCCTCTTGCATTCTAATTTTATCCCAAATCTAGAATTGTGAGGAAGGACTGAACCTCTCCCAAATCTTTTATCTTTATGCTCCAATTTTCCAATATTAAGTTAGCTAATTTATCCCTTGTAAAACATTAATGTTAAATAGAATTTGTTGACATGGTCTAAGAGCTAATTTGATCTACAAACCCTTTTAAGTCCAAGGCTGCTTTTGTCACAGGTCAGTCAGGAGATCCTAGAGCTGTTAAATACTACAACAGCCAAGGAACAATCCATTGTTGAAAAATTTCGCTCTCGAGGTCGGGCACAAGTGCAAGAATTCTGTGACTATGGAACCAAGGAGGAGTGCATGAAAGCCAGTGATGCTGATCGACCCTGTCGCAAGCTGCACTTCAGGTCTCTTGGGAGGGAATGAGGTGGGATGGGTTTGCTAGAAGCAATCATTCCTTATCAGCATGTTCCTTATAGTTGGGGTTCTGACTATAATCCTCTTTTTTCGTTTATGGTTTGTGTGTGTCCTCCAGATTCTGAAGGTATACTTTCAGAACTGGTGTTGTATGGGAAGGAATATAGGCTGCACTCCCAAATAAGTGTGGGGTTTAAAAAAAAAGTTCCCTTCTTCTTACAATAGCACAACTCTATCTCTGAGCCATAGTGAAAGTTAAATTCTCTGAAAGGACTATTTTAGGAGAAATGGGAACCTTAACTCTTAGGTCAGTGTTCTAATCTGCTCTAACCTGCCAAATCCTGCACTGCTTTCCTTTCTCTGGAGAGGAAAAGAGGAAACCAAGTCTTTACTCAGAGAGGAATTACTGTTCTTTAGTGTGAATTGTGGATTTCCATGTTACCTACCTCCCTTCTTTTAAAACTCAGAGGAAGCTCTAATAGGATTAGGGTAGGTTAATAAAAGGACATTTTGAAACCATTTTGTACTTGAACTGTGAGATTTACTTCTAGAGCACCATCTTGATTCTGGTTCTCCCTTTTTATTTCCCCAGACGAATTATCAATAAACACACTGATGAGTCTTTAGGTGATTGTTCTTTCCTTAACACATGTTTTCACATGGATACCTGCAAATATGTTCACTATGAAATTGATGCTTGCGTGGATTCTGAAGCTTCTGGCAGCAAAGACCATACGCCAAGCCAGGAGCTTGCTCTTACACAGAGTGTCGGAGGAGACTCCAGTGCAGATCGACTCTTCCCACCTCAGGTACGTGTCTGCTCAAAAAGCCCACCTCCACTTGTGGAGTTTTGTTTGAGTAGGGCAGCCATATATGCAGGAAAGCAAGGTGTAATTCAGCAATATCATGCTGATTGGGAATGGAGTGGGATAGATATGCCTCTTAAGGAACAGGAAAATCAAATGGAAAGGAGGGACTGGGGCCATGAATCTGAAAGTGAAGGAAGGGAAGATGACCAAATACCACCTCATGCAGTGGATCTGTTGTGATATCCGCTACCTGGACGTCAGTATCTTGGGCAAGTTTGCAGTTGTGATGGCTGACCCACCTTGGGATATTCACATGGAGCTGCCCTATGGGACCCTGACAGATGATGAGATGCGCAGGCTCAACATACCAGTACTGCAGGATGATGGCTTTCTCTTCCTCTGGGTCACAGGCAGGTAATGCAGTTCAAAGATACATAGGTATGGGCAGATACGGTACAGTGAGTACTGGGTGGTAGATAAAATCCTGGGTTTTCCTAGCTCTGCTATTAAATGTATGACTGATTCAGCCTTTTTTCCCACTGAGCCCTAATGTCTGTTTATAATACAAATGATACCATGAATATATATTTAACTCTACACTTGTTCTTTGGGATTTTTTTTTTCATTCTTAGATACACTCTGTTGCCTTAGTAGTGTTTTGCATGTAAATGTTCACTGAAGTGACATTTAAACACATTAAATATTTTGAAGGGAGAAAAAAACGGGCACGAGTAGTTTACCTTTTCTTTCTAGGGCCATGGAGTTGGGCAGAGAATGTCTAAACCTGTGGGGGTAAGTAGCAGTTGTGTTGCTTTTGAGGGTAAAACTGCTCTAGTCGTGAGATGTGCTCCCTTCCCCCAGAGAATACTGTGATTCTTTGTCTCTGTAAATGGTACTGCCTCTAAACTGTGAAAGCCTGGTTAAAGCTCTAGTTCTTTCTTGTGCCCTACAGTTATGAACGGGTAGATGAAATTATCTGGGTGAAGACAAATCAACTGCAACGCATCATTCGGACGGGCCGTACGGGTCACTGGTTGAACCATGGGAAAGAACACTGCCTGGTGAGCAGCAGTGGGGTCCAACTCAATAGGTGGAACATAAAGAATTCTTACTGAGAAAAAGTTCAAAAGCTGTCCTTTCATAAGGTAACCTGTTGTCTGTGATGAGCAGGTTGGTGTCAAAGGAAATCCCCAAGGCTTCAACCAGGGTCTGGATTGTGATGTGATTGTAGCTGAGGTATGTACATCCCCAGGTAACCAAAGTGTCCACATTTTTTTTTTGAGTTGGAGTCTCACTCTGTCACCCAGACTGGAGTGCAGAGCGGCCACTGCAGCCTTGACCTGCTAGGCTCCAGTGATCCTTCTGCCTGAGCCTTCCAAGTAGCTGGAACTACAGGCGCGCGCTTACATTTTTTACTGTGTCAGTTTTTCAAGTCAGGTGTATTTTCATCCCAAGTTTTTCTCATTTGGAGAGTAAACATAATAGGGCTAGAACTGCATTCCTGAGTAACTTACAGAGTAGCTAGTCTTCATTTCCTAGGTTCGTTCCACCAGTCACAAACCAGATGAAATCTATGGCATGATTGAGAGACTGTCCCCTGGCACTCGAAAGATTGAGTTATTTGGACGACCGCACAATGTGCAACCCAACTGGTAAGGAGACCAGAGAATAGATTATCCCCCAAGAACAAAACTTATATTTGTTGTCAAGGACAGTAGTGGTAGAGCCTCACCTCGCATTTCCCACTAATCTATAAATGAGCCTTAGAAGATTCATAAGCCATTTAAGCTTGGTATTTAAACTGTTGTATGGGATTCTACTCTATTTGCTGGAAACCCAACGGGTTCTAGGCCCCAAAGCATTGCTCTCTAGCCTAGGGTCTCCGATTTAAAAAAAAAAAAATATGGAATGCTTCACGTATTTGTGTGTCATCCTTGTGCAGTGACCATGCTAATCTCTGTATTGTTCCAATTTTAGTATATGTGCTGCCTAAGCGGGTACAAAGTCCCTACTCTTAAAAACCCAAGGATCTTTTCAGCTTTTCTGTGGGATATATAAATCTGCCCCCTGGTGGTTGCTAAATTCTCTGTATAAACTGTCAATTTTAATATTTTTCACCCCTTTAATAGCTTAAAACACAAGCTTGCTAGCATTTTACTTATCCAAAGAATACTCTTTGGCAGCAGCAACTCTGATGTAGGCTTGGCTAGGCATCAGTTACTAACCTTTAGATAATGTAGCAGATCAGCCTGTTTTAACACCAGAATATGCCAGTTTCTAACCAGTCATACTACCATACACTATTCTAATGTTAAGGTCTTTTTCAAAGAACTGGCATGAATATTTGATGATAGGCAGTCTTAATAAAAGATATGCATCTTTTAGCAATGTTAAGTCCTTTAATTCTAGGATTTCTGGTTTGCCCCTTCTTTTCCCCTTGTTTCAGGATCACTCTTGGAAACCAACTGGATGGGATTCACCTACTAGACCCAGATGTGGTCGCACGGTTCAAGCAAAGGTATCCAGATGGTATCATCTCTAAACCTAAGAATTTATAGAAGCACTTCCTTACAGAGCTAAGCATCCATAGCCATGGCTCTGTAGGCTAAACCTGAAGAGCAATATTTGTACAATAGCTTTTTTCTTTATTTAAATAAATGTTTCTATTGTAGTTGGGATTTTGAGGTCTAATTCTGGCTCTGCCACTTAGCATTGTGTGATCTTATACAACTAATCTCTCAGTACAATTCCTTATATATAAATTGGGAATGTTACTTCACTGGGTTGTTGTGAGAATGAATGATGTGAGGATGAATGATAAATCAATGTACAGAAAGCATTAAAACGATCATCGCTAAGCAGGACTGCATAGGATCAGAGTGCTTAGTAATTAGTAATACTCATATGTGAACATGGCTGGTTAAGGAGGTTTTCTAGGACAGCATTTCTCAAGGTAAGAATTTGAGTATCACTTAAGGTTATGTCCACTAGGACTATCATGCTCTCTAAACTTTTCCTTACTCTGTTAGCAACTTTTATTTCCAAGAAAAACTAAATAAGCACATCTTAGGTTAAATAAGTGGGTATGTAGATAATTGGCTTATGTATTATTGTAAGTGAAAACACTTCGGCCTTTTATTTATTCATTTACTTTAGTTGAAGTCTCTTACTCTGTCACCCAGTCTGGAGTGCAGTGGCATGCTCATGGCCACCACAGCCTCAACTTGCTGGGCTCAGGTGATCCTCCTGCCTCAGCCTTCCAAGCAGCTGGAATTACAAGCATGCACCACATGCCCAGCTAATTTTTTTAAAAATGTATTGTAGAGATGAGGTCTTGCCAAGTTTCCCAGGCTTGTCTTCAATCCGCAGGCTCAGGCAGTCCTCTCACCTCAGCCTCCCAAAGTGCTGGGATTATAGGTGTGAGCCACTGTACCTGGCTTGACCTATCTTTTAAAGGTATTTCATCAAACACAAGTTGTTGGTTTTTTTTTTGAGTTGGAGTCTCACTCTGTCGCCCAGACTGGAGTGCAGTGGCCGCTCCCGGCCATCACAGCCTCGACCTGTTGGGCTCCGGCAATCCTTCCACCTCAGCCTTCCAAGTAGCTGGAACTACAGGTGCGCGATCCCATGCCTGGCTAATTTTTTTTAATTTATTGTAGAGATGAGGTCTTGCCAAGTTGCCCAGGTGGGTCCTGAACCTGCGGGCTCAGGCAATTCACTCACCTCGGCCTCCCAAAGGCGCGGGATTACAGTCTGAGCCACCGAGCCTGGCAAACAACTTTTTTCCACTGGTGAAACCTCATATTAATTTAAGGATGTTGAGTTCTGCCTCTTACACTCATAAACTGTGATAACTCAGATAAGGATGCTGACTGCAGAAATATTTATAAAGAGAAATAAATAAAGAATTCCTGAGTGGTATCATTTTCCCTGCAGTCCAGTGTGCCTACTATGTTGAAAATTTTCTCTCAAAGAAGTGTATTGATGTGATAATAGTAACTGTTTTAAGAGGAAAACTTTAATGCAATTTCTTAATCCTTTTAAAAATGGATGCACAGTTGTGTTTTCTCTAGGCTCAAAGCTGAGTTCTCTCCCATTATTTTAATAATATTTTAGGCAAGTCTATGACAGTTATACCAACATGGTTCCTCAACCCCTACCACCACCCCTACCATCCCTGTTTTGCTTGTCCATACTCCCTTTACCCTTTCCTCTCTTATCGCTGTCATTCCTGCTTGTGGCTGAAAGAAAAAAGCAATTCCAGATTACAGCAAACTCAACGGCTCTGCTCCATAGCCTGGCTTCTGTTGAAGGGAGAAACGGAGGAAAGCATGAAGGGCCATCATGGGTTGCGATCAGGCACTACCAGAAGCCCAACTTGTGTTGCAAAACAGGCTCTTGGACATCCCAGCAGAAAGTTCTTCACAGACTTGTAGAATAGGAAGGACTATTTCACAAACACCACTGTGTTTGAATTTCTAGAGGCTACCCAGGCCAAGAATACATCCCTAAGAGAGAAAAAGATACAAACAATTTCACACACACAAATAATTACAGCTTAGTTTTGTTTTCTGGTTTTTTTTTGACTCGAAGTCTTACTCTGCCACCCAGCCTGGAGTGCAGTGGCTGGGCTCAGGTGATCCTTCCACCTCAGCCTTCCAACCAAGTAGCTGGAACTACAGACATGCACCACCATGCCCAGCTAATTTTTCGATTTACTGTAGAGACAAGGTCTTGCCAAGTTGCCCCAGCTGGTCTTGAACCCATGGGCACAGGCAATCCTCTCGTCTCCACTTCCCAAAGTGCTGGGATTATAGGTGTGAGCCACCACACCGGGCTTGATATATTCTTTTTAACTCTGTCTTAAATAGGTTCCCAAATAATATCCTCCAGCATTATAGTGAGATAGTATCACCTTAGGAATATAAGAATAGTGGGCTTGAAAGTCAGTAGAGGCAATGCTAGTCTACTATAGATTTTTTGAGACAGGGAATACAAATGCTTTCATGTGTATAGGTAATTCCCAGGAAAACGGGAAAGGGCAAAAACTTGAGAACTTCTGCTTATTCCCCCCATACTTAGTACCTCATTGTGTACTATTTTCCACTTACCCACTACTCCCCAAATTCTCATTCCCCATCTGGTCTGGTTTGCACTAAGGATTGAAAACCTAGTATTCACAATCACTAATAGCTTAATGTATCATCATATTTTAAAAGTGCATACATAGAGAGGTATGTGGTAATGGAAAAGAGTGAATGGCAAATTATGTCACCTTTGGCTATGGAGCAAACGCTCTTTTAAGCAGGAGAGTTTTTCTAGTGGCCTCTCTAATCAGACCAGATACACAGCAACCTACTCTACCTGAGGTAAGGTGATACTGATTATATGCTCAAGGTTACTCTATTTCCCAACAGTTAATTTAGCAATACTGAATTATAAGAAGGGTAACTGTAAGCTTACCTGCAGTGCTTCACCACACACTCATTGCTGCAGTACTCGTTGTCCCAGTCCTTACTCACAACAGGAGGGTTTTCACAACCAGACCTCACACATCGAGGCTGGGGTGAGAGTGTCACAGGAGACCCACTCACCAATTCAACATCCATCTGAGAAGGAGATTCAACCTGTGAGAGGAAAAGAGCACAGAGGGTGTATTAGCTGCCTACCTAGCTAGTCAAATCCGAGAACTAGTGGTACAGAAGGTGTTAGTTTCTCACATGTGGGGTAAAGTTCCAGAGGTGAGTTCTTGGTCTTTCCCCCTTTAAGCCCAGTTTCAGAACTTTGCCAAGCAGACTAACATGAAGATTCTCCCTATTAGAGAAGGCTGGGTGTATACTACCACTTTTTTCCCCTTAAGGCTTGTCAAGTAAAACTGGGAGTGGAGAGCTAGTGCTCTTTAATTTTAATGTAAGACAGGTGTGGTGGCTCACACCTGTAATCCCAGCACTTTGGGAGGTGGAAGCGAGAGGATTGCCTGTGCCCATAGGTTTGAGACCAGCCCGGGCAACTTGGTGAGACCTCATCTCTATAATAAATAAAAAAATAAGCTGGGCATGGTAGCACACGCCTGTATAGTTCCAACTACTTGGAAAGCTGAGGTGTAAGGATCGCCCGAGCCCAGCAGGTCAAGGCTGTGAGCATGCCACTGCATTCCAGCCTGGGTGACAGAGTGAGATTCCAACTCAAAAAAAAAGAATGTGAGTAGAGGAAGAGTCATCTCAACTCAACTAGATGGGGAAGGCTAAGAGAAAACAAAATGTGATACAATTAGAAACAAGAAAAGAATCTGAAAATTTATAGTTTCCTGGGAGTTATTTTTTTCCTTTAAGTGATTGCTTCATTAATTGTAGAACTAGGCTTGGTGCGGTGGTTCAGCCTGTAATCCCAGCACTTTGGGAGACCAAGAAGAGAGGACTGCATGCGCCTGTAGTTCCAGCTAGTTGGAAGGCTGAAGGAGAAGGATCACCTGAGCCCAGTAGGCTGAGGCTGCAGTGGCCGTCATCGTGCCACTGCACTCCAGCCTGGGTAAGAGTGGACTCTGATGCAAAAAAAGAAAAATTGAAGAACGACAGTCTCAGATCCATATTTTATAATGGCTACTGGTCATGTACAAGATAAAGAAATAAAACTAGGATAGGTCGGGCTCGGTGGCTCAGCCTGTAATTCCAGCAATTTGGGAGGCCGAGGTGAGTGGATTGCCT